GTCTTTTTTCCGTGTCCGGCAACGGATCGCAACCCTCAGTGTTGCCCCTGCACCGGACCGGCGACCGGCAACCGGATTGCAAACCTCAGTGTTGCTCCCGCGCCTCGCTCAGCCAGTGAGCGGGAACCGGTCCGTATGTGGGATCTGAACCCTCAGGCGGGAGCGCCGCCACGCTCCCAAGCAGCGCACTATCCAGTGCGCCACCGGGCCGGCCCCGACAAGAACTTTTTTTTGGTGGCTGGCCAGTGCAGGGATTGATCCCTGGACCTTGGTGTTATCAACACCATGCTATAACCAACTGAGCTAACCAGCCAGCCCAGGACTTTGTTTAGTAATGTAACTTTTATGCCCATAATCATTTTCAACAAAATCGGTAATGCTTACTTAATATCAAAAATAGGGCTGGCTCAGTTGGTTAGAGTGTGGTGCTGATAACACGAAAGCCAAAGGTTTGGATCCCATACTGGCCAACTGCCAAAAAAAAAAAAAAAGAAAAAAAAGCTCAGTCCATATTCAAATCCCCCCCATTGTCCCTAAATTGTCTTTTTTACAGCTGTTTCTTCAAATTAGAACCCAAAGAAGATCCACTCAAGGCATTTGATTGTTTGTTTGTTTGTTTCTTTCTTGTTTTTTTACATCTGACCAGTTCAGGGACCCAAACCTATGAGCTTGGTGTTATAGGGTTTGGTTGTTTGTTTCCTAGGTCTCTTTTATTCTATAACAATCCCCCCTTGTTTTTTGTTTGATGTCATTAGAAAAGAAGGGTCATAGCATGGTGCTGGTAACAACAAGGTCACGGGTTCAGATCCCTGTACTGGCCAGATGCAAAAAAAAAAAAAGTAATTTGTCCTGAGGTACGTTTGACATTCTTTTAGATTTTCCTGTTTGCTTCCTTATGGTGTCTCATAACCTGTTTTTCAATTCCCCACAACTGCCGTTAAGATCTAAAGGTCTGATTAGATTTAGGTGCAATTTCCCCCCAATTCCGACTTTTAAGAACTGATATTTTGCAGGGCCACCTCTCCTAGTTTGAAACAAAGGAGACATTAAGCTGATTTACAAAGATAACTTTTTTTTTGCCTGGCGGGTCCTGGGATCCAAACCCATGATCTTGGTGTTATAAGGCTGCACTCAGTCCAACTGAGCTAACCGGCCATCCAACACCTTAATAGAATTTTTTTTCCTTTTGGCAGCAGAATCGCCTGGCGGGTCCTGGGATCCAAACCCATGATCTTGGTGTTATAAGGCTGCACTCAATCCAACTGAGCTAACCGGCCATCCAACACCTTAATAGAATTTTTTTTCCTTTTGGCAGCAGATAATTTTAAAATGATAATATGACATGATAACTACTAAAATGGAGAAAATAATGAAGGTAACTTACACAGCAGTAATCTGTGTTTTTTGATGTGTTAATGCTTGGACATGACTCACTAGGACACATGATGAGGTTGTCTAGTGCCTTTGCCTTTGACACCAACATGGTGAAGGTGACAACCACAAACACGAACTGATGCAGGCAAATGCAGCAACGATGAAAAATCACAGGGCTGACCGGTTAGCTCAGTTGATTAGAGTGCGGTGTTTTAACGCCGGGGTCAACGGTGCAGATCCCCCTACCATCCAGCCACCAAAAAAAAAAAAAAGCAATTTACAAACAAAACAAAGCCCAGACTTTCATGAACCTTGCGTTCCTGGAGCCAAAATAATTCGTGTTTATTAGCAAGATAGGTAGGTTCTAGGTGCAGATTATTGTAAACAGGTTTTTTAACGACACAAATGTATGCAGGGACATTTGGAGGCTTGGTGGCAGAATTCTAGACTGTGCAATCAGCCCTCCATGCAGCAAGATTCCAACTCCCAAAGTGTCCCCTAGGGGGCGCCACCTTTGTCCTTCACTACAATTAAATCGTTTATATTTATTGAGCACTTTATAAAAGTTTGGTATGCATAATCTCGTTTGATCTTTTTAAAAAAATCCAGATGAGGAAACCAAGGCACAGAGAGGTTAGAAGGCATGCTTTCATTCATACAACAAGGCAGGTGGGCCGGTTTGGGTTTGAATTTGGGACTTTCTGACAACAGCCTTCCCTTAACCATGAAGTTATATATCACCTCTCTCCAAAAGCAGAATGCAGAGGAATCTTGTCCTGGTGTAGGTTCAACATCACAAAACTCTATGTTCTACTCCAGCCTTTGAGCACCTGGCTTTATTTATTTACTTATTTATTATTTTAGAGGCTGACCCTTATAGGGATTCAAACCCTTGACCTTGGTGTTATCTAACTGCGTGAGCTAAACCGGCCAGCCCCAGCACGTGGCTTTAAACCCCTGCCCTGCCATTTACTGAAGATGTGATTTAGGGCATATTGTTCCATGCCTCAGTTTGCCCACCTGTGAAAGGGGATTAAATGAGTCCCTTCCTCTCTGGGTTAGTGTGCCGAGTTACCGAGTTAATCCATACTGGGCGCTCAATGAACATTATTGTTGCTGCTACGTCCTCAAAGACACTCAGGGAGGTTTTCCTTTTACAGATGAGGAGACTGAGGCTCAGAAACACGAAGGGACTTGCCAAAGGTCACACAGTCAGTCTTGGATTTAAATATGAATTTTTTACCCCCTCTAATGCTCAGGACCTCCCAGAGCTGCCCAACCCCCTAGTCCAGACTCCCCGGAGGGCTGCGCGGAAGAGGAGGAAGAAGGGCTTGTGCGGGAGGGTCCTGAGCTCCTGGACTTCAGCGTGGACGAGGTGGCCGAGCAGCTGACCCTTATGGACGTGGTGAGGACCTCGGACTGGGACGGGGGGGGGGGGGGGGGGAGTGGACAGGTCCTGCTGAGCCCCGATCTTGCCCCCCTCCCCCGGCCCAGGAGCTCTTCTTGCGCGTGCGGCCCTGCGAGTGCCTGGGCTCCGTGTGGTCGCAGAGAGACCGGCCGGGGGCTGCAGGCGCCGCCGCCACCGTGCGCGCCACGGTGGCCCAGTTCAACACGGTGACCGGCTGTGTGCTGAGCTCGGTGCTCGGGGCGCCGGGCCTTGCCGCCCCACAGAGGGCGCAGCGGCTGGAGAAGTGGATCCGCATCGCTCAGGTGTGTGTGTTGGGGGTGGGAGGAATGGGACAGTGGCCGAGGCCCCCGAGGGAGGCAGGGGACGGGCTGAAGGCAGAGGAACCAGGTCCGGATTGAGAGGAAGATTGGGGCTGGCAGGTACCTAGGAGCACCTAGGAGGTGTCTGGGCATGGGTGATGGGGAGGGAATAGGATTGAAGGGGGGGTCCCCAAAAGAGATTGGCAGAAGCGGGACAGGAGCCTCGGGCCAGGAGGAAGAGGAGGAAATGGGGATCTGGTGGTGGTGGTGGAGGGGGACGCATTTCAGAGGGTGGGAAGGGAAAGGAGGTAGAAATCAGACAGCTGGGGTGACACTTGGGTTCAGGAAGCGGGGAGTCTGGGTCCGGAAGAGAGGCTGGGGGCTCGTTTAGGACTCAAGGGCCTGGGGAGAAGTAAGGGGTGGGGATGGGAGAAGCCAAGGTCGGAGGTAGCAGCTGGGGGAGGGGCGGGGCAGAGAGAGGGGACTCCTTGGGGAGGAGGGGGAGTCGTGGTAGCCGGTCAGATGCAGGGCAAGATATAGAGTCCTGACGCGGAATCAGGAGTGGTGGGATCTGCTGTCTGTCCAGTTACGGGTTCGGATCCCCATACTGGCCACCACCCTCCCAAAAAAGGTCATGGGAAGGGCCGGCTGGTGGCTCACTCGGGAGAGTGCGGTGCTGATAACACAAAGGCCACAGGTTCGGATCCTATATAGGGATGGCCGGTTTGCTCACTGGCTGAGCGTGGTGCTGACAACACCAAGTCAAGGGTTAAGATCCCCTTACCGGTCATCTTTAAAAAAAAAAAAAAAGAAAGAAAAGGTCATGGGATCCAAAGTGGGTGGGACCTGGGGCTCAGACGCCGAGTCTGAGGGTCTGACCAGCGTCCCCACCCCACGCTCCAGCGCTGCCGAGAACTGCGCAACTTCTCTTCCCTGCGGGCCATCCTGTCCGCCCTGCAGTCTAACCCCATCCACCGGCTCAAGCGCTGCTGGGGGGCTGTGAGCCGGTGAGTGCGGTCGCTGGGGGCGGGACCTCCTGCCCACTCCGTCCCAGCTCTGACCACCGACCATCCCAGCTCCATCCCAGCCAACGAGCCCTGATCACCCCTCTCCTTTCCCCCCAGGGAACCATTATCCATTTTCAGGAAACTTTCGCAGATCTTTTCTGATGAGAACAACCACCTCAGCAGCAGAGAGATTCTTTCCCAGGTATAGACGGATGCGGACCCAGCTGGATTCCAGGTCCAGGAAGGGGACATGTGGGGCCAGGCAGGGGACATTGCCTTGTCATTGTGACATTCAGTGTCCTTTCCCTACACCTCAGCGATGACCTTTCCCTTGTCCACGGCCAGCCTGATGCGTTTACTGTCTCTGCACCCTCTGTCAGAGCTCATACTCAGACTGCCTTATTTATTCTTTCAACAAAATACAAGAAGTCACAAGGAAAAGGTTACTAAAGGCCAGGGTCATAGCAAAGAGTGGAAAAAAACATTTGTGCTGGGGACTTTACCGTGGTAAGCAAAACTAAAAACTGTGTGCCAACTAGTCTGACCTCTTATAGGAGAGAGTTATGTTCTTTTTTTGTTTGTTTTTCTTTGGCAGCTGGTATGGGGAACCGAACCCTTGGCCTTGGTGTTACAGGCTGCATTCTAAAGAGAGCTAGGTTCTTATTGCATTCAGGCGTTGGTTCCTAGAGGGAATCCCTGGACCTGGAACATTCTTCACCCCTCAAGATATGTATGGGTTGGCCAGTTAGCTCAGTCGGTTAGAGCATGGTGTTGTAACACCAAGGTCAAGGGTTCAGATCCCTGGACTGGCCAGCTGCCCAGAAAAACAAAACAAAAGATACATATGCAACTTGCTCACCTCCTGCAGGTCTCTGCCCAAATGTCCCCACCTCAGAGAGGCTTCCCTGAGCCCCCCAACACCTCCACACTCCCCCAATCTACTTTGATGTTCTTATCTCTGCCTGTCATGTGATACATCCAGCTTGGTTGTCACCATCTCTTCCTCACTAATGGCCACTCCATGAGCACGGAAATTTCATCTCTTTTGTTCACTGCTGTCTTAGTCTGTTTCTGTCACTTTTTTTTTTTTTTTTTTTGTCTTTTGTCTTTTTCCGTGTCTGGCAACGGATCGCAACC